TTATTCCATGATACACATATGATGTCCACATAGTATATACGTGATGTTTTATGATGTACTTTGAGATGTTCACGTAGTATAAATATGATGTTTTATGATGTACTTTGAGATGTTCACGTAGTATATATGTGATGTTCCATAATGTATTTTATGATGTTCCTATAGTATACATGTGATGTTCTATGATGTATTTTTTTATGTCCGCGAGTAGAAATGTGATGTTCTACGATGTATTTTGTGATGTCCAATAAAAATACATTGAATGTTCTAGATATATTTTGTGATGTTTGGCAACATTATTTCTTATTTTTATTTGACTAATTAATTACTTCACTATTTTTATTATTTTATTTTATATTTCATGAAACATGTGATGTTCTCATAGTATACATATGAGGTTCTATGTTATTTTTTTTAAATGTTCGTGTAATATTAATGTGATGTTCTTCGGTTTATTTGTGATGTTCGGTAGTATACATTAATGTTCTAGGATATATTTTGTGATGTTCGGTAGCATTTTTTCTTCTTTTTATTTAACTATAATTAATAACTTCACTAATTTTATTTTTTATTTTTTTTTATTTTTTACATTTCATGATATGTGTGATGTTCACGTATTATACATATGATGTTCTATGCTATATTTTTATGATGTTCGTGTAGTGTTAATGTGATGTCTTACGATGTATTTATGATATTCCGTATTATATATGTAAAAAAAATTCTAAATATACCCAAGTGGGATCTTGATTTGAAGGATTTGTTGTAAGAAACACAGTGGCGCAATCGAAATTTAATTTTGAAACTCGGTTTAGGAAATACAACTTTTTTAACTTCCAAACACTATGCACGGGAGGGAGACACGAAATACAAAAAAAAAGATCCGTCTATTTGAAACTCGAGTGATATGTCCCCTCTCATCACTCAAGCAATTTGAGGAAACAAATCACACAAATGAAAAAAAACAAAATCTGAGTGATTGAAGCCCTATGGTCACACAAGTGATCAAAAAGGGCAAATCACTAAAAAATAACTAGAAACAGAATTTGAGTGAAACAGGACTTAAAATCACTCAAATTATGTAACACCTCCGTCCACCTTCATGCAACACAAATGGAGATCAAAACCTTGAGAAATTGAGATCAAAACAAATAATCAAAAATCATAAACCAAAAATTTACTATGGTTTGCAAAGCCAAGAGATTCTGAGGGCATTGCCTCACACAAACAAATCAAAATGAACAAAATCCATTAAAACTATGAGCCAACAATGAACCTAATAATTTTTTTCAATTAGTATTAGATACATCACTAATACCTAGCAAATACACCTAATTAACAACTGAAGTATAGTTGAACTCTAGTGTAAATAAAAAATAAATTCAAAGAAAATACAAAAACCAATATTTTTATATGGAATGCACAACCAAAGAGGTTTTGAGGGCATTGCCTCAATCAAAATACACCAAACCAAACATAGTCCATTCAAACTATTAGCCAAACATGTGCCTAATAAACTTTTTCACTTAGTACTAGTTACATCAATAATACCTAGGAATGCCCTTAATATTCATCTTTAAGTTAGCAAACCTGTCTCCAAAAATAGAAGCACCAGCATCGGCACCAGTACCAGCACCATTGGCATCAACTTGAAGCTAGCAGGCGTCAACAAATATATATGTGGTCACAGCAGACATGGCATGAATCAGTATCATTCATGTCATCTTATGGATTTGGAGTGAAATGAAGGTGCTGTCAGCCTGCTTCCTGTACCTGAATAATCAATGTGTCCCGTCTATCTGCATTATGATTCTGTAGACACTTTATTGAATCAGAAGAATCGGATGTTTTCCATTGTGTTTACTAATTTTCCCTTTGTTTGTTACTAGTTGGGAGCTATTATGCTCGTTAATAATGTAAACAGTGATTACTGCACTTGCTGAAACAGATGTCTTTTGCATATTCGGATGATATTTGTGATTCATGGAAAGTCTGAATGAGGAAGGCATTTGAATTTGTAATTTAGATAGCCATGCCGAACCATTGTGCTCCTCACGCCATGGCTGGCTGACCTCTTGCTGCTGCTTGCTGGGTGGTATTAAAAAAAACCAAGCTTTAGGTGCCGATGTGGAATAGTTGGCCGATCCCAAGCTTTGAGGCTTTCTGTACATACACTCAACAAAGGTAAGGAAAGGTTCCAAGAAGGGAATGCAATGTCCTGTAATAGCGTTTCGTCCCTGTCTAGACCTTTAAGTAGTGTGGCATGGATGCTATCTGTTTTGTCTTTTCGCGTTATCATAAACTGGTATCACCAGTATGTAAAAATCTTATTTCTTTCTTAAAACAGAGGTAATCTCCTTTCAAAAAAAAGAGAAGGGAATGCAATGCTGACAGGACGGCAGCAAAAATCAGACAGATAAAAAACCGGTAGCTGTCAGGTTGCAGTAACCAAATTTTCCATGCTTTGCTTCTCTCCCCATCTCCGTACATGAACAGAGGTGATCCAGACTACTGGTACTCCAAACCTGAAAAAGTGAACAAATATGCATAGATGACATAGAAATGCATACTATATTGCAAGATGGAATCACTAATCATACCACAAACTAAGCGTATTCGGTTATAATATGGTTCTATGAAGGCTCAATATATTCTAATCCAACCAGATTCTGTATTCAGGGTACAATAATTCACATCTTAATCCAACCAGATTATATAACCATGCTCAATATATTCCATTAGGCCACAAAAACAAACAGCTGGTATGCAAATTCCGAGCAGTGGACCTTCCTGCTCTTCACCAATAACTCAGGATCAATAAGATGGAAGTTATATGATGAGGACCATTGCAAACTTAAAGAATGCACAAGGTGTCCATCTTTGTGCAGAAAACGTCACATCATAATTTTCACAACTGCATGATTCATACCATGCATCATCGAGCAGATGTCAGCCATCTACTATTCCCGAGTTGCAGAAATAACATGATCCCTGAATCTGATGACCTCTTTCAGCTGCACCTTCTTGAATGACAAAATGGAGGAAAATAGGAGTATTCAGTATAAATTTCCTGGGAAATTGAGACTTTGATGAAGATGCAGAAATGTCCACACAAAAAACCAAAGATTCAGAAATGAAATACTCTGTATAATCAGTGCAAATTTAATGCATAATCACGCCCAGACGAAAGGGAAATGCCAAGAGTAGTCTGATGCTACAACAGAAATACCAGTGCTTCACAAGACAGATTTTTAAAGGCTTTAAGCCCTCGACACAGGAAAGGTCAAATTGCATTAAAGAAAAAGACATCAAAGGTCAAACATGTAATCTGTAAAATTGCTTATCAGCTAGACAGCTACTGGGTTTTAAATTTCAGTGCAAGTTACCATAAACTCTGCAACACATCCACAACTATATCTACAACCTATATAGCTCTAAGCATCTCCTCATTTCTGACATACAAGCTTCAGCACTCAGTATTGTGCTGAGTAAACGAATTGCAGAAATACCATGAAAATTTTGAATACAGCCATCTCCTTTAGCTGCACTTGTCTGAATAATAGAATTACATAACATACTCAGCAGAAACTGCCGGAGAAATTTGGAACTAGGGAGAAAATGGGTGGATGTACTGTATCAATAATTTTGTATTTCAAACCATCTCCAAAACAATGAAAAAAATAGAAATCAATGCTCTGATGAACAACCTGAACAACTTTAATACTTTACCATGCTTCTTTTAATATTCTTTTCAGATGAAAGGGAGGCTCCAAAATTCTGATGTCACAAGAACCTCACACGACAGAAATCTCACCACACTATATTGAAATAAGTAGCCTATAAATTTGCAAGAGTACAGAACAATAAAGCCATATACTAGCAATGAAAAAATAAACAGGGTTCTTCAGTTTTGTTGTACATTTTCACAAGTTCTGCACAAGCACACAGGGAACTATATCTGTTATCTAAGACCCTGTGTTATTCTAAGAAATACATGTATATCACTATAAATTTCATCTCCAGTCTAGGCCGTCTTGCAAGAATGAACCACGCTGCTGTGCAGTTCAAGAGTTCATCTTTTTTAGAGTTCCGGAGAGCCAAATAGGACAAGTGTTTACATCAGTTTTTTAGGTTCAGGCTCTGCACCCAACCAGGGAAATATCAGTCACATAGCGCAGATTTCCAGTAGACAATGCAAACAATTTACTGGACACGCCTGTTAGGTTCATGAGTTCATTCAGAGGAAGTCAGAAACATTTGTACAGTTGTCATAACCAACATCTCTGCTACCCTCTATAACAGAAGCTTCGAAAAACGTCTAATATGATCATCTTTTACATTGTTCAATTACTTGTTTTGTGGTAGTGTAATCTTGAATCGAACCACCTCCTTCAGCTGTACCTGCCTGAATGAAAGGATTAAGGAAAAATATTCAGTACAGACGGCCTGGTAAGTTACTCAGAATAACATACAGCCTTCTGTTTACCGTTTTCCATAAAAGGAAGCACCAAAAAACCATGTCACAACCGAAATGAACATCACAAATCATATATCTCATCACATGAGAGTCAAATTTGCTTTTCAGTCACAGAATAACATACAGCAATAAAACAAAAGGAGGGTTGTTCTCCAATTTGTTGCACATTAACGTAAGTTCACTATCTTTACATGTTTCAAAAAAAAAAGGAAGAAGAAGCTCAGCATGATCAAGACTCAGGAATCATATCTAACATACAATGTAGCTCAAGCAGCAATAGGACCATCTAATCTAAATAAACATCGAATTTTACATTACAAGACATTATGTTTGAACTTGTTTCTACCTTGTAAATTTCAACTCTAGTCCCAGTCATTTTGGAACTAAGTGCCTTGAAACATACAGCTGCTGAGCAGAACCAGTTCATTGACACACTAACGCATATATAGATGCCCCTAAAAAAAACTGTATATATAGATGCCATTATCTAGACTATATCTCTGAATCCAGTAAATTAAAGCAGCTAAGAATCCGAGATAGCATCAGCTGCAGCCCATGTCGACATTGCATAGAGTATGCGTCCCTTCCACCCTCCCAGGAGCCACTGAAGATCCACATCAGTGACAAAGTCCTCATGAAATTTGTCCCTGACACTCTCCTGCACGGCCTTGACAATATCGGGATCCAATGACAGCTGTCTCAGCCCTGCCCGGTGGTTCCGCAACTGCCACTTCTTATATGTCTCAGGGCGCTCGAGCCTGTCCAAGCCTTCACAAGCGATGACATTCTGGGCACACTGACCAAAGAGATCACGCTCAACCAGAACACGTAGATCACTATCCCGTGGGGTCGTGACATCCATCATGTCAAACATTGCAGAGTAGTGGAACAGCGCCTCCCGGAACCGCGGTACAAAATACGGTGAGCTGTATGTGCCATTCATGATGAAAAGGATGAACACATCTGGTCGCATCTTCCGGATGTTGCTGAGAACAACATCTCTCAGGCTTGGGCAACTCGTGTCGACACCTTCGTCCATCAAGTTTCCAAAATGTAGGATGCTATTGACAACGAGCACCTCATCAGGGTCGATGTCCAAATCATCAACCCCAACCGTCTCCCACTTAGCTGCAATGCCACGACCCCACGGAACTTGAATGGCACGCCGAACTGATGAGCATAACTGCTAAGCCGCCACCCTGTCTCCTGGACCCGAGCAGCTGGGCGGAACCCAGGCTGGGGAAGATCAATGCCAGTGATCCTCACTTCCGGTGGCCCACCCGGCCATATAGATAAAAGTTTCAGCAAACCAGGCCACTGGGACCCGTAATGTATGCCGTAATCCACAATGTGTACCTTCTTCCTCCCTGCAATAGCCTTGCAAATGGTCATGTTGGCGAACTTGAAACCCATAACTCTGAAGCAGCAGGCTGCTGCATACAGCCGGTAGGTTTTGAGGAAGTCCACGGCTGAGGTGCGCCTTGCCATGAGCGAATTGTACAGTTTGCTTCCTGAACCAGCCAGCCGCGCCTCCAATCCCTCCGCGAAATAATGCGCCAGCCTTTGTGTGGCGTCTCCCCGTGGAGAAGAGTGCTGCTTGATCTTCCAAAGCAGTTCGGCTGCGCTCCAGCGGTCGTCCGTTGCCACAGCCTGTGCACAATGTATGAGCAAGGTGCACAAGTCCACCGCTCCGTTGGCACTCCGCGCACTCCCTTTCCTGCTCTTCTTCTTCCCAGCCTCATTGCCCATACTGATGCGGAGGCCCTCCATCTCTCTGAAGAACAATTGGAATCCATTGGCAATCATTTCGTCAATCACCTCACCAGATTCCTCCGGCTCCGGTGCCATCATCTTGCTCTCCCTGCACAAATTGGCCTCTAGGACATCGTCCCGGTTGTGCCGGTTCTTGCTGCCTCTGCAATTGGCACTTGCCTCTTCCTTCACTTGGAGGACACCGACACGGTGGGGCTGCCGTCCGAACACGAATCCACGGTGGCGTCAGAGAGGACCCGCCTGTACGATTCCTGGGCTTGCTGGAGCGCGGGGTGGTCCGGGTACTGGTAGAAGAACTCGTCGTCGATCCCCTCCTCCATGAGTATGCGCTCGATAAAGGGGAGGCCGAGGTCGTCGGAGGCCGGGTCCTTGCCCTCGTCATTGCAGTCGGGGCGGGGCGTCGCGGTCAGGTCGAGGAAGATGGAAGGGGAGAAGGGCTCGTCAAGGTCAGCCAAGGAAACCTCCGGCGAGGCGGCCATGGCTGCCAGGCTGGGTAATCTGGGTGGGATAAAAAATGGAAGAAGCGGTTGCCGTTGTGGTGGACTGGTGGGTGGATAAAAACGGAATCTTTTTCTTTTCTTTTCAGAGGGAGAAAGGAGGGGAGAGAGGAAGCTGGGAAGGGAAAGCGCCGAGAAGGTCGTTCTGAAAATTCTGATGCGACCTCGGCGGCTGCGAGATGAGGCCAAACGCAACTGTGATGGAGTCTGCTGCGACTCTTGTTTTGTCTTCTCCCGTCCGTGGACCCTCCGGAGACGTCAATTTGCAAACAAACAGTCTTCTTGTGCCAGGCTGCAGTATCAGGCACCTGCTAGGCGGCTACGGACTTACATTGAAACAGAGTAACGGCTTCCTAAATTTTATTTTTTTGAATTTTCTTATTACTAGAACGCAGCAAACACACAATGCACAGCACCTCATACATGATTAGTGGTCTGTCTCTGTCACCTCGCATGACAATGACAATGTTCTGAATTTGCTCATGCTGAACATGCATCAGAAAGGTGGAATAATTTATAAAGTGGATGGACAGAGCAAAAGACAGACCAAGTTGCACCTGCTTCAGATCTGCATATGCCAGCCTCTAATAATCAGACGGCCCACCTTTCCTCAGGTGTTCATACCCTGCTCCAAATATGGACTCTTGAACAAAACCATTACTGTACAAAACCTGAAAAGTAAATGAATAAACATGACAGAGATGCATAGAGTGAGCTCATTACACCCTCCAAAAAAAAACGATTCTCTATGCTAGAACACTCGATAGAGGAAGAAATAGTCTTAAGAAAACATAGTGAGAAATGACTGAGGCAACCAAAAAACATCTCTGATCTGAAGTTTGTTCCATGTTACTCTAGTTTGATCAAAAGCTCAAAAGTCTAACAGGAATCCTAGCAGGTTCAGCATTCTACGCACCAGTAAGCCAGTAACTCAGTATCAATATTGCAAACACCGCTACTCTGATGCCTAAAGTTCAAGGTTCATATGAGAACCCCAATAGGTAGAGAATCGTACTAAATTAACTTGACAGCCACTTTACAGATGTGCAATTGTGGGCCTCTTCCTCTATCATAGGACCATCGCCAGTGACTCAGTACTACTGTGAAGAAATTATAATGATAAAGGATCATTGCAAACTTACGATGACCATAAGGTGTCCATCTTTGTTCAGAAACTATCACAACTGTCATACTATGTATCATCACATATAAGCAGATGCCATCCAGCACCTCTCCTGAAATTGCAGAAACAGTTTCTTTGCAAGGCCCTTGTGTCTGTGCATGCTGCTATATCATTTGTACTCCCTATGCTTTGAGCAAAAGAATCAGTCAGGTATGCTGAATAAGCCTGCCATAGTTTGATCCCCAAAATAAAAAGACAGAAACACCTCTTTTAACTGTACTCTGAATGAAAGAATTCAGAAAATATTCAACAGAAACCGTCCCCAGGAATTTGAAACTAGGTAGAAAATGGGAAAAGTTTCTTTCAAAAAAAAAAGAAAATGGGAAAAGTATGGTATCAGTAAGTTTGCATTTGAAACAATCACCAAAAAATAAAGCAGCAGAAATCACTACGCTGAATAACAGAATAATAGGTGCGCTTTTAACGCTTAATCACGTGTCTGTTTACTCTTTCCAGGTGCAAGGGAATACAATGTTTCAACAAAAAGTGGACTTCACACCACAGGTACCACAAGTGGCCTTTCAGTTTGTCATACATTTACACAGGTTCTGCAGCAACACACTGAGAATTAATCTAAGATCCTATGCAGATATAAGAAGCAACAAGAACACCCAAAGAAGCATCTACTATTACATTATTAGAAGACATTTTAATGCATCTACTGCTTATATCCAAGCATCTTTAAATAAAGTGTGTTGAACCACATAGAGGCATATATCTCTGTATCTTGTGATGAAAAGCCATTAAAGTCCTGATATAGCATCATCTGAATTCTGAAACTCATGTCGACATGGCATAGAGTATGCATACCTTCCACCACAGCTGCTGAGCAGCTCCAAGGTTTTCATTATCGGAAATAAAAATTTATCGGAGGTCATAGATAAATAGGATAAGCAAGATATATCGGAAATATCGGACCAAATTAAAAAAAAATTCAAATTGTTTTGAAAAAATTTCGTAGAATTTGACTTGAAACTATTTCTAAACTATTAAACATCACTTGTTCACAGATAAAAACAAGAATAAAACATTATAATGTGGGACCGTCGCACGGCTGAATTTAGGTTGTCTGTGTGGGAGTAGGAAATAAGGGAAAAATTTAACTGATGTCAAATTTTATCGGACCCTGTGGATAGAAGGGAAATTTCGGAAATTTCCGTGAATTTCGGCCGATAAAAAAAACCTTGAGCAGCTCATGAAGTTCATTGGTAAGACAGAAATTCAGAATCATATATGTATAGTTGCAATTATCGATATTTCTGTATGCTGTGAGAAAAGCAGCTAAAGTTCTGAGACAGGATTATCTGCAACCCATGTAGACATGGCATAGAGTATGCGTCCCTTCCATCCTTGCAGGAGCCAATTATGATCCGTATCAATGACAAAGTCCTTGTGATACTGAACCCTAACATTGTCCCTCAAGGTCTTTACAATATCTGGATCCAATGGAAGCTGCTTTAGCCCTGCCCGGTGGTTCCGCACCTGCCATTGCTTATATGTCTCCGGGCGCTCCACCCTGTCCGTGCCCTCACAGGCAACAACATTGAGGCTACACTGCCTAAAGAGGTGCCGCTCAACCAAAAAGCGCTGGTGACTATCCCGTGGAGCCGTGGCATCCAGCATGTCAAACATTGCAGAGTAAAAGAACAACGCCTCACGGAAACGTGTTACAAAGAATGGAGCGCTAAACGAGACATTCATGATATGAAGGATGAACGCATCAGGTTGCATCTTGTGAATGGTTCTGAGGACAACATCCCTAGGGCTTGGGCTATCAATGTCGACCCCCTCATCCATCAAATTTCCAAACTGCATGATACTGTTGACAATGAGTACCTCATCAGGGTCAATGTTCAGGTCATCAACACAAACTGTGTCCCACCTCACCGTGATGCCGTGGAACTTGAATGGCACACCGAGCTGACGAGCATAATTGCTAAGCCGCCGCCCTGTCTCCTCGATCCGCACCGCTGGGCGGAAGCCGGGCTGGGGGAGATCAATGCCAGTGATCCTCACTTCAGGAGGTCCACCCTCGAAGTTCGCCAAATGGTATAGCAAAGCTGGCCACTGAACCCCATAATTCACGCCGTAATCCACGATGTGAACCTTTTTCCTCCCAGCGATGGCCTTGAGGATTGTCCTGTTGGAGAACCTGAATGCCGTCATTTTGAAACAGCAAGCTGCCAGGTACAACCAGTAGGCCTTGAGGTACTCCACGACCGAGACGCGCTCAGCCATGAGAGACCTGTAGAGCTGGCTCCCTGACCCTGCCAGCCGCGCCTCCAATCCCTCTGCAAAACAACGTGCCAACCTCTGTGTGGCGTCACCCTTCGGTGAGGAATGCTGCTTGATCTGTCTCAGCAATTCGGTCGCACTGCGGCGATTGTCCGTGGCCACGGTCTGTGCACAGTGGATGAGCAAGGTGCTCAGCTCCACCGCTTCGTTGGAGCTAGACCTTCCCTGAGCCGACTTCCCTTTGCCCTTCCTTGCCTTCTTCTTAGCCTCACTGCCCATGGTGATTCGCAGGGTCTCCATTTCTTTGAGGCACAATTCCAGTCCATTGACAATCATTTCATCGACCACCTCGCCAGTTTCCTCAGGCTCAGGCACCATCAGCTTGCTCTTCCGGCACGTCTCAGCCTCAAGTCATCCCAACTGAGCCTGTCCCTGTCCTTGCGGCCCCTGCCATTAATGCCCAACTCCTCCTCTGCCTCACGGTCGATTAGGAGGCTGTTGGTGGTGGGCAAGAACTTCTTGGCCTCCTCCATACCCTTGAGGAATGCCTTGTTGAGCATCTCCGCGTCCGCGTCTCCCCTGTTGAAGAAGACCGAGGCCAGCGCCGCGTGGTCGCCGTCGCCGTCGCCGGCGGCCCTTAACTGCGCCGGACTCTGCTCCAACTCCGGGCTGCCACCATCTTGTGCGGGCAAGAAGAAGGGGCCGACACCGTCGTCGGTGAAGCCGTGCAGTCCCGTATCGGGGTACGGCGGGGACAGGAGGAGCTGGGCTGGGCCGTCGGAGGAGGACGGCGGGACGGTGGCCGTGGCAGCGTCAGAGAGGATCTGCGCGTACGGTTCCTGGGCTTGGAGGAGCACGGGGTGGTCGGGGAACTGGTAGAAGAATTTGTCGTTGATGTCCTCCTCCATGAGGATCCGCATGATGAAGGGGAGGACGAGGTCGTCCGACGAGGCCAGGACCTCGCCGTTGCCATCGGGGCGGGGCGTCGGGGGCAGGTCGAGGAAGATGGACGGGGAGAAGGGCTCGGGGTCAGCGAAGAGGCCCTCGCCCTCCGGCACGGCGGCGGCCATCTGCTGGTGACTTGGTGAGATAATAGTCCAACAACGGCGATGCCTTGTGGAGAGTGTGGGTGGATGAAAGTTATGCTTTTCGGAATGGAACTAGTAGTCAGTCAATCAACAAAGGAAAGTTCGGAGAAGACGAATGCTGCAGTGGTGGCGGCTTACCGAGAGCACTGACCTCAGTGCTTGCTAAAAAAATGTCCAGGGTACATCTTCTGCTGCTTTTTTGAGGAAAAAAAATCAAACACATGCTGATAAAATAGGTTAGTCTCTGTTTTGTCCTGTACAGCAGGAAAAAAAATTCTTTTGCTTGACCAAACTCTGCAGTATCAAATACCTGGCACTCTGAATTTGCGACTCTGTTGTATATGCATAATATAGTGACATGGATGAACAGAACAAAAGACAGACTAATCTTTACCTGCTTCAATTGTCCCAATGTCAGGCAGTCACAATCAACTTGTCCACGTTTGGTCAGGTGCACTCCCCTGTTCCACACATGGACAGATGAACCAAATTGTTAGTGCCCCATAACTGGAAAAGAAATAAACAAGACATAGAACCACAAATGCTCAACCTGTGAGATTGAACAAACAGGCAAAAATATTGCATAAGGAAAAACATAGTGCACGAAATGACTAGTGCAAACAAGAAACATCAGACTTTGAACAGTAAGTTTATCCAAGGCAACTGTAGCTTTATTGAAGATCGGTATTAATAGAATCCTAGCAGATTTGCTGCAGACGATCTTTATATCGTAACATTCAGCAGATCCAAGCCTGACTCTTCCCATATTGCAGAAACATCACATAATCCTGAATCCAGTGAACACATGTACCTGTACTTGTCTGGATGAGAAAATGATGGAAGATATCCAGCCAAATAGAATAATTTGATTAATAAGAGCAAATTTGATAGTCACGCCTAGACACAAGGGAAATGACAACAGTCTAATGATACAGAAGAAACAGAACTGGAAGAGACAGATAAAAGTCGAATAAGTAATCAATAAAATTGCTTATCAGTTATAGATTGGTGTACACATCACAATTCTGCAACATATCCAGAACTATATCTACATACTATATAGCTCTAAGCATCTATTGTTCTACTTATTTCCAGCTTACAAAGTTTCAGCACTGAAACCCTCTAGAAACAGAAGTCCAGTGGGCCACAGATGCTGGGTCATAGTTTCGTAGTAAAATAAAGACAGACCATCTATCAAACATCAATATCATTAATAATCCAAAACGAGGTGAAGTGAAGCAGCTAAAAGATGGAGCTATCATTCATAATCCTCAGCAACCCATGTTGACATGGCAAAGAGGACCCGCCCTTTCCATCCCTGCAACAACCATCGATGATCCTCATCAATGAGAAAGTCTTTGTGGTAATACTTCTTGACCTTATCCTCACAAGCTTTACAACCTCTGGATTCAACGGCAGCTGCTTGAGCCCAGCCCGGTGGTTCCGCACCTGCCATTGCTTATAAGTCTCAGGGCGATCCAACCTGTCTGCACCCTCACAAGCAATAACATTCAGGGCAGATCGCCCAACAATATCCCGCTCGATCAGCAGCCGTACATCATTGTCGCGGGGAATGGTTGCATCCAGCATGTCAAATAGTGCTGAGTAGTAGAATAGTGCCTCCCGGAACCGTGTCAGGAAGAATGGAGCACCATATGAGCCATTATTGACAATCTGGATGAAAATATTGGGTCGCATCTTTCGAATGTTGTTGAGCACCAAATCTCTGGGGCTTGTGGTGTCAACGTCAACACTCTCATCCATCAAGTTGCTAAAGTGGCACTCGCTGTTCACAACAAGCACCTCATCTGGATCAATGTTGAGGTCCTCAGCACAGATTGTCTCCCACTTTGCTGCTATAGCATGGAACTTGAATGGCACGCCGAATTCGCGGGCACAGTTGCTAAGCCGGCGGCCTGTTTCTTCAATCTGGTAGGTTGGGCGGAACCCAGGCTGCGGAAGGTCAATGCCAGTGAACCTCACGTCTGGAGGTCCACCTTCTCTACCTGCCAGGAGATGTAGCAAGCCTGGCCACTGTAAACCATACTGTACACCATATGCCACAATGTGCAACTTGCTCCTCCCTGCCACGGCATCCACGATGTTCCTGTTGGTGAAGATGATATGCACCTTATTGAGGCTGACGGCTGCCAAGAATAGCTTGTATGCCTTGAGGAACTCCACAACCGATGTGCGTTTTGCCACGAGCGACTGGTACACCTGGCTCCCTGTGCCAGCAAGTCGGGCCTCTAGTCCTTCTGCAAAACAATAGGCCAACCTCTGTGTGGCATCCCCTCTAAAAGAGGAGTGCTACTTGATCTGTTTCAGCATCTCGGTTGCACTTCGGCGATCACCTGTGGCCATTGCCTGTGTGAAATGGATGAGCATGGTGTGCAGGTCAACAAACTCGTCACTACTGGAGGCCGCGGCTTTGCCGAGTGTTTTTACACTCGGCAAAGAGCCCTTTTCACTCGTCAAAGGCTTTCTCGAGTGTAGCACTCGGCAAAGTCTGTTCGGCAAAAAAAATTTCGGCAAAGGGTCTTTGCCGAGTGCTTTTTATCGAGGCACTCGGCAAAATACAAAAAAATTTGCTGAGTGCTTGGGGCGGCACTCGGCAAAATATTTTCGGCCGTTGCGGCGCCGGCCGTTAACGGTTATTTTGCCGAGTGCCCGACCCAGCACTCGGCAAAAAAAAAATTTATTTTTTTAAAAAATTACTTTGCTGAGTGCCCAAGCCCAGGCACTCGGCAAAGTTTTTTTTTATTTTTTTTAAAAGTACTTTGCCGAGTGCCCCTGCCCAGGCACTCGGCAAAGTTTTTTTTTTATTTTTTTAAAATAATTTCTTTGCCGAGTGCCCCTGTTTAGGCACTCGGCAAAGAATTTCTAAATTTTTTTAAAAGAAATACTTTGCCGAGTGCCGCGGAGAGGCACTCGGCAAAGAAATTATATTTTTTTTTTTGAAAAATCTTTGCCGAGTGCCTTGCCCATGGCACTCAGCAAAGACCCCGAGAATTGCAAATTTTTTTTATATTCCATTGTAACAGACAATATATATATATATATATATATATATACAACAATCATCACATCTATATCACCAACATGCATTATATATCACAAGCACATGCATATTTAATAAATTCATCGAAAATCCATCACAAATGCACCAAAGTTCAACATCACAAGTTTATTATTACAAATTCAACATCACAAAGTTCAACAACCCTACTGTGGCGACGGAGACTGCAGGTGTGGCCCCCCGAACTGCGGTGAAGGACCGGATTGCGGCGAAGGGTTGACGCGATCAGCCGCCGGTGACACGGTAGCGGGATTGTTTGAACCCGCCGACGGAGGCTGCACAAAAGAGAAGAAATTGCATATGTTAGACTAAAAGCAGAGGATTGGTTACATCACAAGATACCAGAAACAAGTTTTTTTTTTGGAGGATAAGAGCATAGTATAACACAGTTGAAGAAAAACATAAAGCCCGGACAGCAACATTTTTTCCAGTTAGCAGTCAAGTGCAGGAAATAAGATTGGATTATAGGCTAGGAAAAGTAGGTCATCATTGCATATGCCAAGTGCCTCAGTTTACTAAGAATAACATAAAGGACAATATTTATGTAATGGTTTGTGTCACTCCATATGCCAATTGCATCAATTCAATAAACTTGGAATAGCAATATCATAAAAGACCGAGTATTAGCCATAACATATGTTGAGGCCTCACTTCAAATGCAGATCAGATGAGAATGAAACGATGATAAAAGAGTAATAATCATGGCTGTTCTCATATACCATATTTGAGAAGAAAAAAAAGACACTTGTTTGCAGCATCATTGGCACCGAAATATAGTCAGCAAAAAATACAAAATAACAATGGCATGGAAATATGCTCAGGTTTATTGGATGCACCTCGTAGGCACTATCATATGGTAAAATTGAAATGGCTACTTCATCAACAATAGCATATGCTGGGGATAAAATAAATCAATCAGCAGCATAGGCATCGTACCTCGCAGGCATTGGTATATGGTAAAATTGGAATGGCTACATCATCTGCAATGACATATGCTCAGGATAAAAAAAAATCAGCAGCATTATTGGCTTATGGTTATATATGTTGAGAAGATCACAGCAGTAGCACAACGCATACAAACATGCTCAGATTGTATTGGCAGAAGGCAAATCAACCCATACACACAGAAAACGAAATCAAGGGGCAAAGGTTAAAGGGGAATTTTTTTGGTGACCGTACAAACACCAAGCAAGTTCAGGTAGGAAGAAATCGAGCGGAGCACAGAATCTGCAAAGGTTAAAGGGGAATTTTTTAGGTGACCGTACAGTATATATGAGTTTCTAAGTAAAACCTATAGTCTTCAGTTGCCAAGTTGTTAATCAGAATTCTGAGAACTGATCACAGGAAGGAATTGTAGCAGCTGCTGATGCTTATTAGAGGGAATAATACAACATCCTGATACTACTGCTACCAATAGACAGAAAAATAATTTGGCAAGAAAATGTCAAAACTGAAAACTAATTGTGATGAGCAATAGATTAGTGGCTGAACATGGAGTACTTAGTTTCATTTTTGCAGTGGGAGTCAAGTATGATGCAGCAACTAAACAAGTATGATGCAGCAACTAAACAAGTAACTAAACAAGAGCAGGGGTGTGTTCTCTGATTATATCAAGATGAGATAACATTATTTTTATTAAAAAGCAGCAGTTTACTTAATGCCTAAACTGCATTGATCAAACAAATATCTAAAACTTGTACCTACTACAGTTGCAACTACATAATCACATAGATCAAACCAAAGATCCTTGTCTGTACTGAGTCAGATCAGTTCAAGTTTATTTAGTAAGAGGTAAACATGAGAGGAATATATTTTCTGAGATAGAGCTCACATTTGTTAATAAACTTTGGAGAAAGTAATATGTTTTCTTTATGACAAACACTCAATATGAAGTTCTTTTCAAACACAAACACTCAATATGAAGTTCCAGTACAATGATTATTATCCAATAGAACTCATAATAAAAATGAGCTGTGCTGCTGCACTAGTTACTGAAACTCCTATTCAGACAAGCACGAGTTGCAACATCTAGCGCTGAGAAATGTTGAATAAATGGTAGCAGCCACACCTGAGCAACATCTAACCTTGCTTTTTGCATTGCTTTCATCGCTGCAGCTCCAGTTCTCAATGCATCAACAGTCTCTGTTGTAGCTTTAGCTGCTTCTAACATGAGCATCTCTATAAAAAAATGGGTTATACAGCTAACACACATAATAGACCTTACTATGCACAGGAAAGTAGAAGCCGTGAGTCGACAGTTCAGCACCAGCGTCTCGCAGAGTCGGCAGCCAACGAGCCCCTCCCTGTGCAGCACCAGCAGCTGGAACATGCTCATCTTCGTCCTACAGCGACCAGCACATCCCACAGCACCGGCAGCGGCTGCACGTGACTGCATGAGTTAAAATTAGCCTCTGATAATATGCAAATCTTATGCATAGATGGCAATTTAATCCAAATTAACCTGAGATAAGCACACAAAAAAGGAGATGAGTTTTCCAACAGAGAAACCAAAGCCAAAAACCAAGGGTAAATCCCCAATTTCTCTCCAGAAACCCTAATCCTAATGACAAGATTAGAAAATCTCACCAACGAAGGGCTCCGCTCGTCCCGGCGCCATGAGCTCAGAAGCTAAACTGCGCCATGAGGGCTCGGGACGTCGCACCTCCGCCTTCTTCCCGCTGCGCTGCTGCATCGTAAAGGGGCCCACGCATGGGACAGCTGAGGGCACCGGCAGCTGCTGCGCCGTGTCGCTGAAGCGTAAGCGCGCCACAAGACGCCTGCTTGAGAGGCCATTCTTGGAGGCAGCGACGGTGGTGGCGCCGTTCTTGGAGGCGGGTGACGGACCTGGAGGCGGCGACAGCGCTGGTCGCATGCGAGGGCCGGGCGGAGGGCGCGGCGCACGCGGAGCGAGGGCGGGCTCACGGCGGCGGGCGCGCGGCAGCGGGGGGTGGCAGTGGGCGGCCAGGTGGGGGTGTCTTGTGAGGGAGCGGGCGTGGTGGGGCGTGAGGGTTGGGCCGCACGGGGTTGGGGTGGGCTTTTAGGGCAATTTTTTTTGAAAATCAACTTTGCCGAGTGCCCCAGGGCCGGCACTCGGCAATTTTTTTTTATTTTTAAAAACTTATTTTGCCGAGTGCTAGCCCCAGGCACTCGGCAATTTTTTTTAAACATATTTTGCCGAGTGTAATCCTTGGGCCCTCGGCAATTTTTTTTTAATTTTTTAAAACTTATTTTGCCGAGTGCCAGCGCCCAGGCACTCGGCATTTTTTAAAAAAATCAACTTTGCCGAGTGCCCCCTGGGCCGGCACTCGGCAAAGCCCACTTTGCCGAGTGCCCCCATGGCACTCGGCAAACTTTTTTTTTGATTTTGGGCCCAAATTTTTTTCTGGGGCCATGTGACAGTATTTCAAACTCTATTTTAAAATTTGGGGCAATTTTGACTTTTTTTTTATATATTTCATTAGTTTATTTCGTTGCGTCGAATTTTTCGAGATATTTCAAATTTGAACTGCAGGTACATGGAACAATGGACTTTGGTCATCCAAAAATTGATACTCATGATATTTAGAGTATGTTTAGGCCGTATCCAGGAACTCACATGAAATCTCGAGCATCTCGTTGACGTAACATGTCGAGGTACTTGCCGGAAATGTGATTTTAAATTATATAAAATGCAAACGAAGTCCGAAAATCACGAAACTTATCGCAGAAGGCTGTGCTAAAAAATTGAGAAGGTTTCGAGCAAGTTGTGATGTCGGATGCCAAAAACCCAGACATCTCCACATGTGAAACGAAGTGATAACACGTGGAGATGTCTGGGTTTTTGGCATCCGACGTCACTACTTGCTCGAAATCTTATCAATTTTTTACCACAGCCTCCACATGCGATAACACGATGCCTCCACAAGTTTCGTGATTTTCGGACTTCGTTTGGATTTTATATAATTTAAATTCACTTTTCCCGCAACTAACTCGACATGTTACGTCAACGAGATGCTCGAGATTTCATGTGACTCCCTGGATACGACCTCAACATAAGCTAAATATCATGAATATCAATTTTTGGATGACCAAATTCTATTATTCCATGGACCTGCATTTCAAATTTGAAATACGCTGAAAAAATCAACGAAACCAAATAAATTAATGAAATATACCTAAAAAAGTCAAAATTTCACCAAATTTTAGAGTAGAGCTTTAAATATTGTCACAAGGCTACACAAAAAAAATTGGGTCCAAAATAAAAAAAAAATATATTTTGCCGAGTGCCATGGGGAGCACTCGGCAAAAATGTCTTTGCCGAGTGCCGGGCCCAGGAGACACTCGGCAAAATTTGTTTTTAGAAAATAAAAAAAATTGCCGAGTGCCCAAGGACGGCACTCGGCAAGTTTTTTTTTTAAAAAATAAAAACAAATTTTGCCGAGTGCCTGATGGCTGGCACTCGGCAAAATCTGACGGTAGGTGGCCGCCGTCACGGTCCGGCTAAATTTTGCCGAGCGCCTGGCTTTGCCGAGTGCCAGGCACTCGGCAAAGTCCAGATTTACCGAGTGCCTGACTTTGCCGAGTGCCACGATATTTTGCACTCGGCAAAGTATCATGCACTCGGCAAAGTACAGTTTTCCAGTAGTGTGTTCCCATGCTGCTTCCCCTGCGCCCCATTCGCGCTCACCTTCCTGGCACTCTTCTGAGACTCGCTATCCATGGCGATGCACAAATCCTTCATGTGTTTCAAGAATCCATCATATTTGCAGGACATTAATTCGTCGAACAGCTCACTAGCACCGGTTTCTTCCTGTTCAGGCATCATCAGTTTGTTGTTTCTGCCGGTCTCCACTTCCAAGTCCTCTTGGGAGTAACGTTTCTTGCGGCCCCTGCCATTGCTACTTCCTCCAAACATTGATATTCCATCCACCTCCTCCTCCTTCACTTGGGTAGCAACAAAGGCAGTGGATGGCTTGATGTCTCTCTCTGTAGGCAAGGATTGGCCAGAGGTGTCGTCAAGGTCGATCAGAAGGCTATTGTTGGTGGGCAAGAACTTCTTGGCCTCTTCCATGCCTTTGAGGAACACCATATTGAGCATGTCCATATTTTCCCCATTCTGGGCACCGAAGAAGACCGAGAACAGCGCAGCATGGTCACCATCACCGGCAGGCAAGGTGGTGGCCTCTGTCTTCGTCTCCTCCTCCGCGCACGCCGACCTCTGGATGCCCACGCCACCGCTGGCATCCTGGGCAACGAGGGAAGCGCGCTGCTGTTGGGCTCCACCACCGCCAGCGTTCAGGGCCGTGAGGGAAGCGCTCAGCCGTTGGCCTCCTCCGCCGCCGCCGGCGGTATCCAAGAAGGCCAGATTCGGCTGGAATGCGGAGTCTTGTCCCGGCAGGAAGACGGCGTTGACCTCATCGGCGGTGAAGTCATCGAGCCCCACCCCCATGTCCGGGTACGGAGGGGAGTACAACAGCTGGGAGAGCTCGATTGGGTCGTAGGGCCAGGTGGGGTCGGCAGATGCGGGGGCGGAGGAGGACAAGGAAAGGGTAGAGTTGCCGCCGGTCCTTGAGCTGGTGACAGCGGCGGAGTCGGATGAGAAGGCAGCGGTGGCATCGGAGAGGATCTGTGCGTACGGCTGCTGCGCGCTGAGGAGCGCTGTGGTCGGGGAACTGGTAGAAGAACTTGTCGTCGATGTCCTCCTCCATGAGCATCCGCGAGATGAAGGGGAGGACGAGGTCGTCGGAGGAGGCAGGGTCATCGAAGGAATGGTTTTCTTTTTCGGCCGAAATCTCCTAATATTTCTGATATATCCTTTTTATCCGTAGGTGCCGATAAGGAAATATCTATCTTTTTCGTACAAATTTTGTTTAAATTTATTTAAATTTACTTAAATTAAAATTAAATTTTATTTGAATTTAGTCCGATATTTCAGATATATCCTGTTTATCCTATTTATCTGTGACCCCCGATAAATTTTAATTTCCGAAAATAAAAACCTTGATCGAAGGTCGGGTCATCACCATCGGGGCGGGGCGTCGGGGGTAGGTCGAGGAAGATGGAGGGGGAGAAGGGTTTGGGGGCGGCGAGGTAGGCCCCCTGTGCTAGGAACTCCTCCGGCGCGGCGGACATGGCTCGCCGGCGGTTAAAATCGGAGCTTTGCGTGGCGAATCAGCCTACTGCTAGCTTATTAGAGTGCTATGTTTCGTGGGGAAGGCAAGTGAGGATGACGGCCGCAGCTTTGACGGTGGGAAATTTGAAGGAGCAGCCTGCCGAGGAGGGGCAACACGGGGGGAAGGTTCCAGGATGGCGAGCTGAAGACCATGGCGGCAACAAGATCTTGTCCACGGTGTCCGTGTTTGTGAAGGAACAGCAGAAACAATCTCAACTTAATCCTGAATACTTTGACTACTTTTAGCTGTCCTTATCTGAATTGAGAGAAATGATGCAAAACCGAGGCCTGTGACACAAAACTGTGGGGAAAATGAATTTGCATTTCAGAATATCACCAAATGGAATGAGACTGAAAAATGGAATACTCTGATTAATCAGTGCAACTTCAATGCTTGCTTACACCTAGCAGTGAAGGAGATGCCAACAGTCTGATGCTACAGCAGAAACAGAACTTCACAAGGCAGAATACTTTTCAGGGTTTATTAAGCCTTCAAAGAAGAACATGAGGTCAAACATGTAGCCCATAAAATTGCTTGTCAGCGACAGGGTTTAATTCTTTGTGTACATAGTATATACTATTACAACTCTGCAATATATCAAGAACTACATCCACAACGTATGTAGCTGTAAGCATCTACTTATTTCTACCTGGCAAGTTTCTGCACTAAACCCTTTAGAAACATAAGTCCACTGAACCATAGGTTGCTGGATATCATGCATCATTAGATACTTTTCAGGGTAATCACTTGTCATAGGTCAAACAGGTAACCACTTGTCAACTACAGGGTTTTAATTCTAGTGTACATTGTACATAGTAGATTATTACAACTCTGCAAAATATCAAGAACTATATCTACAACCTATGTAGCTCTAATTGTTTCTACCTCAAAGAAGGTTTCAGCACTAAGCTCTCTAGAAACATAAGTCCACTGAACCACAAGGTGCTGGATCATAATTAACATACCGCTGGATCATGGTTCAACATAAACCGTCTATCAAATATCAATATAATCTATAGTTGGATTCAGGCACTAAAAGATGGGTTTATTATCCTCAGCAACCCATGTGTCGACATGGCATAGAGCACACGTCCCTTCCATCCGAACAGCAACCAACAGTTATCCTCATCGACGAGAAAGTTTCTATGATAAAAGTTCTTGACCTTGTCCCTGACGGCCTTGACAACCTCTGGATTCAATGGTAGCTGCCTCAGCCCAGCCCTGTGGTTTCGCACCTGCCATTGCTTATAAGTTTCAGGCCGTTCCACCCTGTCTGCACCCTCACAAGCAATCACATTCAGGGCAAACGCCCCAAAGATATCCCGCTCGATCAGCAGCCATTCGTTATTGTCCCTAGGGATGGTCGCATCGATCATATCGAATTGTGCCTCCCGGAACCGTGCCAAAAAGAACGGTGCACCATAGGTTCCATTTACTACAGTATGGATGAACACATTGGACCGTATCCCTAGGGCTCGGGCTGTCCACCAGAACACTCTCGTCCATCAAATTGCCGATATAGCCCTCACTGTTGACAACAAGCACCTCATCCGGATCAATATTGAGGTCCTTAGCACGTACGGCCTCCCACTTTACTGCAATACCGTGGAACTTGAATGGCACACCCATCTCACGGGCAATGTTGCTGAGACGGCGGCCTGTTTCTTCAATCTGGTGGGCTGGGCGAAACCCTGGTTGTGGGACGGCAATTGCGGTGACCCTCACCTCTGGTGGTCCACCTTCCCTCCTTGCCAGTAGATGGAACAAACCTGGATACTGGAATCCATGCTGCACACCATACTCCACAATGTCTAACTTGCTCCTCCCTGCCACGGCAACGCGAACTGTCATGTGGGAGAAGATGAATCTCACCTTCATGAAGCAGCAGGCTGCCGTGTACAGCCTGTATGCCTTGAGAAATTCCACGACCGAGGTGTGCTGTGCCATGAGCGACTGGTACGCCTGGCTCCCCGTGCCTGCAAGCCGTGCCTCCAGTCCCATGGCGAAACAATGAGCCAGCCTCTGTGTGGCGTCCCCTCTGGGCGAGGAGTGCTGTTTGATCTGCTTCAGCACCTCGGTCGCACTTCGGCTATCACCGGTGGCCACCGCCTGTGCGCAATGCATGAGCATGGTGCGCAGGTCGACGACCTCGTTCACCAGATTCTGCTTCCCCTGCGCCCCCTTGCTGCTGACCTTCCTTGTGCTCTTCTCAGACTCGCTGTCCATGGCGATGCGCAGGTCCTCCATGCGCTTCATGAACGCTGCATAGTCGCAGGTCATAATCTCGTCGTACAGCTCATTGGTGCCGGTTTCCTCCTGTTCCGGCGTCATCAGCTTGTTGTGCCTGCCCGTCTCTGCCTCCAAATCATCCTCGGCGTGGCGGTTCTTGCGGCCCCTTCCATTGGCGCTTCTGCTTCCCCCAAACATAGATATTGCATTCACCACCTGTTCCTCCTCCTCCTTTTCACTTGGGTAGCAACAAAGGCAGTGGAGGGTTTGTTGTCTGTGTCTTTAGGCAAGGATTTGCCGGAGGTATCGTCAAGGTCGATGAGAAGGCTGTTGTTGGTAGGCAAGAACTTCTTGGCCTCCTCCATGCCTTTGCGGAACGCCATGTTGAGCATGTCCATGTCTCCCCCATTCTGGCGCCGTGAAGGCCGAGGCCAGCCTTGGCGTGGTCGGCGTCGCCAGCAGGAAAGGTTGCGGTGGCCTCTACCTTGGTGTTGTCGTCCTCTTCCGCGCCATCCGAGAACGCAGAGCTCTAGATGCTGCGCTGACGTTGTTGGGCTTTGCCGGGCGGCGGCGGCGTTATGGGTGGCGAGGAAGATTGCTGCCGCTAGGCTTCTCCTCCGCTGCCACCGCCGCCATCCGAGAACGGCGTACTCTGGTAGAAGTGGAATCCAGGGCGGCATCCTGTCCTTGTCTTGGCGACAAGAATTGGGCGGAGTCGCCGAGGCCGACCCAAATGTTGGCAGCAGGGTATGCCGGGAGCGGAGGAGGTGGGAGAGGTCGATTGCGTCCTCGTGAGTGCGCCCAGGAGGCAGGGTCTGTGGAGGACGCAGGGGCGTCGGAGGAGGGCGAGAGGGTGGAGTTGGCGGTGGTCCCCGAGCCGCCGCTGCTGGTTGTGGTGGTGGTGGTTTTGGTGGCGGCGTAGGAGGAGGAGTCGGACGGAGAGGAGGCGGTGGCGGCGGAGTCGGGGAGGATCTGCGCGTAGGGCTGCTGGGCGGTGAGGAGTGCGGGGTGGTCGGGGAACTGGTAGAAGGACTTGTCGGCGATGTCCTCCTCCATGAGCATCCGGGAGATGAAGGGGAGGACGAGGTCGTCGGAGTTGTCCGGGTCGTCGGAGTCGGCAGGGCGCCCCCGCGTCGGCGGCAGGTCGAGGAAGACGGAGGGCGAGAAGGGCTCTAGGGCCGCCAGGTACGACGCCCCCTGCGACATGTTGGCTTGTCGCTTGCCGGCAGTGGTGGGCGAAACAAACAAAGAAAAATCTGAGCTTTTATTTACTTGGCGTGGGGGAATCGGAATTGGACTTGACTTGGGAAGCAGGAGGGAGGGAGGGAGGCTGGGAGGGGAATAGCTACCTGCTAGGGGAGTAGTGGATGGGGGATGGCTGGTTTTGATTTTGAAGGCCGGGGACAGGGAGGTGGATGTGGAAGAAGGTTCGGGGAAGGAAGGGCACCGCGGGCGGGAGGGGAGGCGGTGACCGGAGAAGACCGAGTAGTACAGGACAGGACGAGGGTGGGTTGGGGAGAGGAGAAGGCGAAGGCGAAGGTGAAGGCGAAGCGCAAGCGCAACGCAACGCAACGCAACGCAACTGGAGAGACTGCCTGCAAGCGGCGAGTAGCGGCGCCACCTCTGCCTGCTTGCCTTGCCTGCTGGGGAGGAGAGGTGGAAAGGAAAGGGCTCCCACCCTGCTTCACCGGGAGATGGGGTTGGGTGGGACCCATCTTGGCATCCACCTGCTGACTACTCCGTAGTAGTCTAGTATGTGTGCTGTTGCTGTTCCAACAGTCAACAGGACTCTCCACTCCACCTCTGTGGATATGATATGGCCTGTGCTAGTGCTACAGGCTGGTACAACAAACTCGATCGTGGCCTGGCCTGATTGTATGCCATTACTCTATGGTTGCAGTCCGAATTGAAGCCGCCGGCCGGTCGGTAGGTTCACCCAGCTTGCACAAATGTCACAAAACTACTACATGCAATGCAACCTGCAACGACGCAAGGTAAGACAACAAAAAGGGCCGGACGGGCTAATAATTTAGAAATGACACGACACGCAATAACACACGTGATGGATCGATGGAGACATGCGAGCGATGGATCGGAGGTGGACACACTCCTCGCACAGACCCATAGAGAGAGTGATCGACACAAGGACATCGATCGATCCGCGGCCAAGACTTTTGGCTATGGAGACGCACGAGCGTTGACTCATATCCCATCTGTCATCGGTCATAAGACACGGGCTATTTCACGCAACCTCTGTTGTCACAAAAAATAAATACACATCTGCGTCGTAAGAAGTCAATTTTTTTTGAGTTTGACTAAATATTTCAAAAATGTAGTAAATATTTATGATATGTAATAGAATACTATTAGATTGATAGTGGAAAAACTTAGAGTAAATTTCACTGACGGTCCTTAAATTTGCTATGGATCTTTACTGTCTAGGTCTAGGTACTTTCAAATTTCATGTTCCAGGATGAGAACTTTGCAGCAAGTACATTTAGGGAGTTCATTAATGTGCAAATTTTGGGAGTCACGTGTGCAATTTGTAACTATCCGGATCGGGATCAGAACTCGGGACAATTTTAGGGAGTCCAATGTGTAATTTGAAAATACCGGGGCCTGCATGACAACTCGGGAAAATTTCAAAGACCGCCAGCAAAATTTACCCATAAACTTATTTGGAGATTAAAAAAATATTATATGTACCTAATCAAACTTAAGAATGTTTGCCTCCTTAGACAATGAGATGTCCACTTATTGTGAGATGGAGAAAATATGCTTAGTGATAAGTACTCCACATGTGGGAATAAGAGAAAGATAGTAGTGCTTTTTTTTTTTTGATGGAGAAAATATGCTTAGTGATAAGTACTCCATATATAGTATGGGCTTGCGCCTAACTAATAATCCACACTATACAATACTATGACTATGAGTACTTGCCCATGCATTTCAGGGTGTGTTTGCTCTACTATGAGTTACAATAATCGGCTAAAAAATGAGAAAGAATGAGAATGAGAATCAAACTCCCCTCAATCTAGTGCACATAACAACTATCTCCTGCAACATTATATTCGGTCTATTTGTTTCTCTAAAGGCCTATATATTCTGGTTTAAGGGTCATGGGTACTATTGTAAAGTATCACACTAAGGTGGTGTTTGGTTTTGAGGACAGGGTCGTCTCAGGTGGGATATCCCATCTTAGTCAAGCAGTCAGTCTTGACCATACAAAAAAAAAAGGTAGAAGAAGCTTAGACAACAAGGTGATGAGACCTGCGTACATGCACGCACCGTTCCAGTCCTTATCACTCATATTATACTGGTATTAACCCTTTCTATATACAACGTTCTTGCTTACTAAGAAGTTAAACATGTTCTAACTTTTACCAAATATATATATATATATATATATATATATATATAATATTAATATTTATGATACATAATAAATATCATTATATGAATCGTTAAATTTATTTTTCCTAATAAACTTATTTAGAGATATAAATGCTAATATTTTCTACAAATCCAGTCAAATTTTAAAAATTTCATTAGCATATATACCATAACCACAGATAAAACGAAACGTGAAGAGTACGATCAAATTAAAGATTTCCGGTTATTACTAATATAAACTGTGTAGTAGGCCTAGGTGCTTCTTATTATATCGATGACCATGGCCTTTAGCAGTACCAGATATATATTGGTATTACTGACAATTGACAACACGGGACAACTGACTAGGAAGCACCTATGCCTACCTAGTTATTACGTATAATACTTGGGAATCTTTGACACATGTTTAACCAGAGGCTAAACTTATATTAATATGTAGTACGTGTCCTCGTTATAGCAGATTGGAATAAACTAAAAGGAAATCACACTACTCTTATATCTCTACCTAATAGAGTAACAAAGGGTGAGGTGGTTCTTCCAGTCTTCCTTTTTTACTTCCTAAACTGTTCTTCGTTTTTGTTCCGCATTTTTATTTCTCAAACTGTCCTCGCATCCCACCTTATTCTGAAGTATGTGGTGAGCGAAACAGGTAGGCCTCCTTAGACGCGCCCAGCAAGAACCTTTTAAACAACCAAAACACACTTAAATTCGGTGGCAATGTTTTCTTCTCCGGCGAAGCCAGCGCTGAACTATGGGAGAAGCTGGGACTTGGCAATGTCGCCAACCTAAATGATGAAGAAATTTGGAGCATCAGAACCCCTTCCCAACTGGACGCGAAGCTCTGGCCTTTTGTGCTGCTGACAATTCTGTGGCGCCTGTGGGATGCCAGAAATGGAGAAATCTTCAGACTTGAACCCTCCTCTAGCCGTAGCATTATTTCAAAACTCTGTGATGACCTTGTTGTTTGGCGCAAGCGCCTAAATCGTCATCATGATGTAAACTGCTTAAATAGCTGGCGCCACTACCTCCTGTCTTGTAACTCTCCTGTACGATTCAGTTAATTGGAACTCTGAAATGAAAGTTTGGTGGGGAAGCTCTCCCCCCGTTTGATTCGAAAAAAAAAACACTTAAATTCTACTTATGAGCTCTGCGATGAATCTAAACCCATGTGCGCTTGAAAGGATTTGGATAAGAACAGGACAGGGATAGGAAAAGATTTACTCATTGCTTCGAATGTTGTCGTATACTCTCGCACCCTTTGTATCTCTAGCATGTTCGCTTGAACTTATCAGCCAGCTTATCAGCAATGGTACAATGTTTTCCTCTCACAACAAATCAGCCATACAAATCAGCACAAGCGGCTTATAGACCAGCCGAACAGAGCCGCGTATCCCATATATAACGCGTCTTCATGGCCCACGCTCATACAATTTAGACCCATTCGTGTCCGGTGATTGTACGAAATCCATCTCCAAGATGTATTGGCTTCCGTGCAACGCATAGACACACGTTTGCTGGTATATGCATAAAATTCCTTTATTTTCTAGTCAATACGTCATGTGCAAGCAAAAAGCTAAATTTATATACATATACACATATGGGGTATATAGGTATTTTCTAGTCAATACGTCACGTGCAAGCACAAAGCACATATGGGTAGATAATTATATATTCTTCTTCATCCTTAGATGTGCTGCGGCAGGCACATTACTGAACTGAATTTTTCATTGACATGCACGGATCGACGCTGTTTCTTAAGGAATCAGAAAGGGTTGTCTCCTAATGGTTATATATTATATATGACAACAAGAGTTGAGTTACAAAGCCAAACCAGGAAGCAAAGAAGACCAAATAAATTACAAATGAGTCTCTATCCATTGACTAATACAAACACTCTTGCCGTATAAGGTATTGAAGTCCGTAAAAGCTACTTGTTTCTAGCAATAAGATATAGCACCAATTGAAGGAACATCTGGTAGGCAAAACCCCAAAGAATCCTTTAGTGCCAAAATAGAGATTCGAATAAACTAATGAAATCCTTGAAAGAAAAGAAATTGATAAATGAATAAGGAAACAAGTGTAGTTAAAGATGTTAACTGGGTTCTTTTAGGGTGAGATGTTAGTTGGGTGGAGGCGAATACCTGGACGGGGCCTACGGAACGATGGCTTGTAGCGCAGGCAGAATGAACAGCTCAAGTCAGTTAATTCTAAATGGGCCTAGTATAATCGAATAGGATGTGGTAGACGTGAGAGGCCCAACACTAATATGTAACTACCTTCTGAATGTCGTACAGTAGCTATAGTTGTTGTAGTAGATGAACCTGCCATAGAGAGCTTGAATCCACCTCGATATGTTGGGATGGAAGGGGGTTTATTCGCGGACCTATAAATAGACTTAATTATATGGATTACCCGCAGAACTCGTAAAAATTTACAGGTTCACAGACAAACCTGCTTGTATCCCTAATGATCTGTCATTGATTATCAATCAGTAGTTGCTCTGACTTGTTGATTTTTCTGAGTTCCTGCATCTCAATCTACTAGGTTCATAATAGGGATCCTCTTCCGGGTAGGCTTGAAGTGCAAGAAGCTAGTTCAACCCAATCCGACATGCATAGCTAATGCAAACGCGAGGCATTTCCCGTAGATAACACTATAGATGGTCAAACGGTTCTAGACCATAGCCCGCTGTTTTGGAGTAGCCCAGGTATAGCAAGAGCTGGCGCCTGTCATATGCTCGTGCTAGCCTAGCCCGTTGCACAGAAGGTGCCTAGGCCAGTCACTTGACACGGTGTGTCCGCCTAGCTCAACCC